ATACATATACATGCACCAGACGGACATACAGGCAAACAGACAAACACATACACCCACAAAACACTCAATACTGCTTTTTTGCTTGACAGGAAAGAAAAAAACTGTTGTGCTAAAAAACTTCAGACATTAATTAGTCACTGTAAATAAATTTGCCCCCCGAAATATGTACTACTTTTGATCAATTTGATATTTTCCAAATAGCATTTCTTGCCTCTCTTTAGCTTTTAAACACTTATTTACCATCTTCCTACTAGAATTGTATTTTTATCGCCTAAAATTTGAGGAGAAACAAAGCAAGTTTACAGTAATGACATCAATATCAACAACGATATCAGCATCAATATTAGTATTAATGATAATAGTGCCAATATTAATATTAATAAATGCAGTAGAACAACACTCAAAGACAAAAACATCTATCGCAACTTTCACGCAAACAACTGCAAAGAACTGAAATTTAAATTTATCCATTTTTCCCCATCATTACCTTCAATAAATCATATCTTTCCCCTACGCCGTCTTACTCACTTTTTCACTTTCTATAGAACTTTCGAAACATTTTAAACAAAGAATTAGAAGAAAAATACTAGCAAAGTCGTTAAAACAGGTACATCAGTTGTGTAAAAAACTTTTAAACCTTAAAAATATCTCCTTCAGTTTTTTATTTCTCCTCCTGCTCTGCTCCAAACTCTAAGCTCTTTTTGTAAAATATGGTTGGATCAAAACAAAACAATAACTGCATCCGTTTCCGCACCATTTCAACCAACCAGGTCAACAACAGTATTTGCTACTCACCTATTACAGATAAACACTAATTCTACTCTTTTTCTTGTTCCCCTCAAATCAACAATCACTATAGTTAAACAGATCAATTTTCCCTCTTCAATTGCATTCATTTTTTCACAAAGAAAATGATAGCTTCAAGAGAAAATGACTGTTTTCTCTGGAAAAAAATTCAGGATGTGATAATCTATAAAACAAACAAAAAGAAAAAAAAAAACTTGTAATATTCACCGTCATGTCAATCACCGAAACACGATATAAAAAGCATGTAAGAGGAAAAAAAAAATCTGTAGGCAACATTCCAGCCCTCTCTCTAATCAGCTCCATCATCATCATCACCATCATCATCATCTTGTTTTCCAGCAGTAGAGGCAGCAGCAACGTCTTCAGAGCAAAAAAAAAGTTTGATGCTTAAACGATGAAGTAGCAAAAGGAATCCGCAAATAATATGAATATAATTATCAATATCAGTACCGTCATCATCACAAGCAAGAGCAAGAGCAGCAACAATAAATTCAGGGTTTGCTCTGGCTGCCTCGAGCCACTGAAAACATGACTGACTTTGTTGCCCCAAACGTACACGCAGCAAAGAACTGTAAATATGTGAAGAGATTTAGAGATTAAAACAAATCACTCAGCCATACGCACAAACTACAGTATTATCGCTTGAAGCGTATTCTTCAATCATGCATTTCGGCAAACAACATCATCATACCCGACATCGATTACGGTAAGCGTTTGCTTACCACGACTTTTCCGAATTGCTGCTTCTTCTCTTCCCAAGTGCTCACACAGGCGCACAGACACACACGTACATTTACACAGGTAACTTAGGAAAGTTCTATCTATTTTCACTTCTTTCTTCTTCGTCCATCGATTAGCAATTTCTTCGCTTAACGTCGTTTCAGCGTGAAAGGCGAAGCGAAAAATGAAAAAAAAAAATTAGACCATAAATTCCATATGTGCGAGTAGTTTTTCCATTTATTCCACTGCAATGTAACTACTATTCGTGAAAATGCTCCCAACAAATAGCTACTGTAAGAAAAGTTTACAATCAGGAACGATGTTAAAATTAAAAAGAAAACCTTTTATAGTTCCCCTTCTTCCTTCTTTTGGTTTTTTTTTATTCTTTTTTATTCTGCAGTGACCATTAAAATAA